ATCCCTATCTATTGTGACTCTGAAAGTGCAATCAGGATTTGTCATAATCCAGTGCAACATTCGAAAACCAAGCACATTGCACTTAGGTATCATTTCATCAAGGATCATGTAGAAGACGGGAATGTAGAAGTACATTTTGTTCGTTCTGCTGATCAACTGGCTGGCATCTGTACTAAAGCCTTACCAGAAACAACCTTCAATAAAATCTTACAAGGTTTGGGTATGATGGAAGGAGAGTCGGTACCGAATCTTAAAATCTCTCTTTAAAATTAAGACAACCGAGATAGACAGACCGCTCGGTCTATCTCTGCTCTAGATTTTTGGGGAACCGACATGGACAGACCGCTCTGTCTATCTCGGCTCCGTAAATCTCGGCTCCGCTCTGTCTACTCTCATTAATAAGATAAGGTTTCAGTTGTATATTTTTTCTTTCTTTTTTTATTCTTTTTTTAGAAAATTTCAAAAATCCAAAAATATTTTATCTTTATGTTTTTATTCTTTTTCAGAAAATTTCAAAAATCCAAAAATATTTTATCTTTCTGTTTTTATTTCTTTTTTAGAAAATTACTTAAAAATATTTTATTTGTTTCAATTGCTTGTTTGTTTTGTTTGGTGTCTGTCACTAATAGGTAAACACAAGTATAACCGTCGATAGATCTAAAGCAGGTATGTTTCAACTTTCACACAACCGAATTAAGGGTCCCTATAAGCATGTTGTTGTATGTTGTCATAAAGCCTCTATGATCTTGAGTAAGCCTTAATGATTCGATCGATACCCATCGTTTCTTCCAAATCAAGCTATTTTACCTCACTCGGTCTAGAGCTACCTTACTCTTCTCATTTGAGTTAAGATTTTCTCTGCTCTGTCACGCTTATCTAGCAGAAGGTACATTCAGTTCCTTAACCACCTCCTTATATTCTACATCTACCTTCGGTTCACTAACGTAACCCTTGAGACTCTCGGTCTTTACCACTGAGGTTTATGGTTACACAACATCTGTGTTTATGATCTTGGATACGATTACCACATTCTAAGTGAAACCCAAAATCCGACACCAAAAATGAATTGACGGTGAGTGATATACTCAAGCATTTACTGGTTACCTAAGGAAATCTCTTTTTATTTTGCGTGATCTTTTATGAAATCGTCTACAGCTAAGACATTTCTTCCCAAAGAGGTCCAGTTTATATATATATATATATATATATATATATATATATATATATATATATATATATATATATATATATATATATATATATATATATTGAGATTTCTGCTTCCTATAAGTCATTAACATAATAAATCCCACCCACCTGTTCAATAGATCACATCGGTCTCATAGGTACCTCTACAAACGATCAGTTTTATGTTAAAACTCGATGTTCGGGTGGAGGAAAGCCACCAAATCCCTATGATCAAAAGAAGCCTTTCAATGTTTATTAACAAACAGTTGATCGTATTTTTTGGGAAACCACACAAGCACTTCAAGTCTCTCTTGACTTTGAAGGAAGTGATTCTTGCCCAGAATCCTCTGCTTTCTGTCTTCTAAAAAGACATCACTCACGTCCAATAGACACTTGCTTTATTTCTTTATCTTTCACACTCTTATGCATGAAAATTAATATTTTCCAACATTCTTATTGCTGTTTGGTATAAGTTTTGGTTATCGGTTGTGACCAAACAAGGGGATATATGGAATTTCAAACGGTACGAAGATAAGATTTAGGCGCGTGAATTTGATCCGTTTTAAACCCACGCGTGCTGACGTTTTCCTGGGATTAACCACCCTATCAAATCGTGCTTTTTCAAGCGACGTTTAAGCAACCTCATCATCACCTTTTTCTCTCTACAGGCAACGGTATAAATAGGGGTGATCGTTTTATTTGTCATTTACTAATCTTGGATTATCTCTCTCATACAAGTTCAAACTGTTCATCTTCTTCTTCGTTCATCAATGGCGACTTCATCTTCTGCACATGATCAAACTGCAACATTCTCCTTGCTTACAATCAAACCCAACCAAAACATGACAATCGAAATGAGTCCTTTCTTATATGACTCATATATGTTGCACGTTGTGGAATGTCTGAAGTATTCCCCCCTGTTATTGGCCCTAACCCAAGTCGAAGCGGTTCCAATGTCGCTGCTATCTCAAGTCTACTCATCAGCGACTTATGACAAGAATAAAGATCACATCTACTTCATCATTCATGACAAGAAATCCTTGATTTCTAAGGCGAAGTTTTGTTCACTTAGAGGGCTTGCGGTTGAGTCTTCAATCATCTCGCCTGATTTCATCACTACATCACAACTCTTTACGATGATGTATGAGATGGGATACACAGACATGCTTACATCGATTGCAAAATTCAAGAAATCGTGTTTTCCATCGTAGTAGAATTGGTGGCTGACATTGCTAATCAAGGGTTTAGTGAAAAGAAGTGGTGGTTCAGTATACAACAAGCAAAGGATTTCTTACCATTCTTTATGGTTTATACAACGGGATCAACCTAGATTATGGCACTATAATCTGGTCCCAAGTGGTGCAGAGTTTAAATACAACGACCCGTCATTCAGAGATCTCTTGTGGTCGTTTATGGACCCTGATTACAAGGAAGGCCATGGATTCCTTGGAGATACCTGTCAAGAAGGATGCTCTTCTTGCCTCTATTGCCTCATTCCACACAAAGAAGATCATCTTATCTAATCAACGTAAGTTTCTCCACTATGGATCGATTCCAGAATCAATGTACAGGTGTGTTTCGGCACAAAGCAAAGTGATGGAAGATTACCAAAAACTTTCTCCTGTTGGTCCAAGGGTTCTGTCTGAAGAACAAGAAGCCGCACTGGATGCCTTGGATCAGCCTGCTAACAGAGGCAAGCAGGTTGTAAAGAAGAAAAAGAAGAAACGAAGGAGAAACAGCCAAAGTCTTCAAAACGAAAATCTGCTGAAGAGATGCTTCTAAATCAAAGTCGAAGAAGATAAAGAAGATGGCTAACAGACCAAGGGGAACTTGTCTCCTGGACCTGATATTGTTGAAGATCAAGAAGCAGAAACCTAGAATCCTCAGGTTTCCACCAGAGAGCCCACACCTCCAAGATCTCCAACCCACCTCCATCTCCTAAAGATACCCAAATTCCAACTCCACCAGCCTCTCCCAAAACTACTAAACTTCCAACTCCTCCACCATCTCCTAAACTCACAAAATTTTCCACTCCACCCCCATCACCAAAACATAAAGCTCGACTTTCTGTTCCTACCGATATACCACCCATTATTACTGAACCTACTTCTCTACCAACTTCAACCATCATTACCTCTGTTCCTGTCTCAACTACACCCATCTCAACTCCTCTTACAACCGAATCCATTCGCCACCACCATTCCTAAAATCCCAGTAGAAGTCAATGTATCTGATACAGGGGCTACTACTGTGATTGATACTCCTGTTATCAATATACCACCATCCCCAACCTCATCCTCTACCTCCGGTGCTACTCTTGGTAGAGATGATGAAGATTATGATTCTTTATTTACAGTCCTTACCGGCTTCCAACTGATAATGATGCTGATGCTCCTGTCACCAGTCAACATATCCAGGACATCAA